TCGTCATCTGCATGTTAACGACTCCACCATAATAATAACGAACACTTCTTAACGACATACGAGCAAGTGTGTCACTCCGCTAACCTAACCTAACGGTGTTCTAAGTGTTGTCAGCAGCTCATTGGTGGTTGAGAGCTGCTGACCACAACTGGCTGACAAACAAGCGATACCCATTTATGTCACGTTAAGGTCCTCCTGACACCTTACACCACGAGAGCTGACAGTAACGGCTGACAATGATGCATTACCCCCCCCCTCTCTCTCTCTCTCTCTCTCCTCACCCCACACACAATCACCTCTCTCAACACACACACACACACACACACACCACCATAACAATGAGCTGACAGTCTGACTCTGGGTGAAAGCATGAGAGAAAGGGGTGTGGTGTGATTACCTTGACCCAACGACTGACGAGAGAGAGAGAGAGAGAGAGAGAGAGAATATTCACCACCTAACCTAACCTAACCTAACGTAACCTAACCCACACGTAAAAGAGAAATATAATACGTGACGTCATTATGCATCTCATCAGTGACCGGACGGGCTTAACTATTACCTGTACACTCAAGGAAAACTCCACACCTTAATTAATGCCTGATTATTTCTAGACACACACACACACACACACACAGTAAGAAAGTAGATGTAATGTTTTTTAATGTGTCGACGCCTATAAAGGTCTTGCATCACCTCACACACAAACAACACAGTGTTTATAATATTAATGTCCTTAGAACACACACACACACACACACACACACACACACAAGGTACCCATAACCTTGTATCAATCACCAACTAGTATATTACAAGGCATACCACCATTGCCAACATCCAGTTAGACAATAAGAAATAGTTCCCCCATCCGTCCTCTTATGATCCCGACAGTGTTCCCAATACCCTCATACTACTGGACTACCCCCTGGACCCCCCACAACCACCCTCCCGTACCCGGACTACACCCACTGGACCCCCACCACCACCCTCCCGTACCCGGACTACACCCTCTACTGGACCCCCCACCACCACCCTCCCGTACCCGGACTACACCCTCTGAATACTAGTGAGTCGAGTCATTGTCCTGGTAGTGAGAGGGTTAAGGTCTCGTGCTCAAAGGGTTAAGTCCTCGTAGTCAAGTATATTAACACCTCGTACTCAATTAACACCACATACTCAAGTATATTAACACCTCGTACTCAAGTAACACCTCGTACTCAATTAACACCTCGTACTCAAGTAACACACATACTCAAGTAACACACATACTCAAGTAACACCTCGTACTCAATTAACACCTCGTACTCAAGTAACACCTCGTACTCAAGTAACACCTCGTACTCAAGTAACACCCATACTCAAGTAACACCCATACTCAAGTAACACCCATACTCAAGTAACACCCATACTCAAGTAACACCTCGTACTCAAGTAACACCCATACTCAAGTAACACCTCGTACTCAAGTAACACCCATACTCAAGTAACACCTCGTACTCAAGTAACACCTCGTACTCAAGTAACACCTCGTACTCAAGTAACACCCATACTCAAGTAACACCTCGTACTCAAGTAACACCCATGCTCAAATAACACCTCGTACTCAAGTAACACCTCGTACTCAAGTAACACCCATACTCAAATAACACCTCGCACTCAAGAGATTAAACTTAAAAGTGAGAACAATAATAACCTATGTAGCTGTGATGACTCGCCTCCTTTCCGTCCACTCACTCACTCATCCGGCGCGTCCCTCGTGAGTGGCCGCAGGAGGAGGAGTAACAGGTCGACGCGCGTTAAGGAGTCATTTATGGAGGTAATGCATTGCTGTGGCGGTGAGTGACGCAATACTGTGACGCTCCCGTTCCTGAAGCTGGAGAGAGAGAGAGAGAGAGAGAGAGAGAGATGATCAAATTCACCACTTAAGAGCAAAGAGGGATTTTTTTTAGGGGGGGGTAAATACAATTACTCATACCTATCAAAATACACAATCAATCATAAACCTCTATCGACATATTTTATTTTCTATTTCACAAGCACAAATGTCTCACTCGGTCACATTAAAGAGATATTTTTTTTTTACTCTCAACTCACCACCGTGTTTCTTATATTCTTACAAGAGACTTCAACGCAATAAGAAGTAATCCAAGTTTATTTCAAGGGTTTCAACACTACAGTAGATATAAACTTTACAAAAACTCGTCGGTTCACTACAATAAATCAGTTGCCTTGTGTACAGAGGTTCCTCCCTCGTCTAGATCGGCTTTTGTTTACGTCACATTGCTGGGTACGTCAACTGGCTGTACCGGTGAGATATGCGCCTGTCACTTAAAAAAAAAAACCACTTTATTGTTCAGCGCATGAATTGTGTCAGTGGAGAGAGTAATTACGTGCTTAATGAGCTTATTTGATGATGTACAGAAAGACGTAAACATAATATTAACAGCGGCTGGCAGGCGAGTGGGATTACCACATAATATACTGTACACCGAGCTTAGTCATCGTACACGATAGCCTGATCTGCCCAGTGCTTGTCCAGTCTATTATATTACTAAAATACTTATCTCGACCTAAAATTAATACCAGAGACAAATTCAAAGAGTTCACATGGAAGAGGAACATAAAATCAACCTAAAATTAATACCAGTATGAAATTTAAAGACTTGGAATAAATACGGAGTTAGAATTCACTACAAAATCTGATAACATTTTGGCGATAAACCCGAAAACTCAGTATAATACTAAAGCATTCTGGGGGAAGGGGTGGTATTTCCGTGTACAAGTGAACAACAGTGTTAAGAATATGGGACAAACTACCCAGACCATACAGGATGAGCATATAAAAAATTATTCCATATTTAGAAAAAGCAACACGTTATGGGGGTTTGTGTTTCATGTATAGAGAAAACGCCCATTAAACTAGGTTATGGGGGCGGTTTTAAGGGGAGATAAAACTCGATTAACAATACATGGATTTCTACAGGGGTTTTAAGGGGCTAGGGATTATTGGGGGGATTTGGAGGAAGGAATCACCCATTACAACAGTGGGGAGGGAGTTGTCAGGGAAATCCAGGGAAGGAACATAACCACGGCAAGAGTCACTGATCTGGGGAACCCAGGGAGATCCCCCAAGGATAGCGTCCCACAAAAACCTGTGAAAACTCTCTCTCTCTCTCTCTCTCTCTCTCTCTCTCTCCTTGTTCTTACCACTTCCTACCACACACCCTTTCTCTCCCCCCTTCTCCCTACCCCCTCTCCCACATATCCTCCCCAATCTTCCTTTCCTCCCGCTCCCTTACCTCCCTCCCTCTCCCCTACACACCATTTCCCTACCGCCCTTCCATTCCCTGCCTGCCTCCCTCCCTCCCTCACCCACACACCTCTCCCTACCTCCCTCCCTCCCTCCCCTCACCCTACACCCCTCTCCCCGTTTTCTCTATTACCTTTGCCATCCCTCTCCTCCGTCCCACCTCCCTCTCCTCCCACCCTCCTTCCCTCCTCCAGTCCCTCTTCATTTTTATTTAACCTCTCTCGCTTCCCTCTTCCTTTCCACCTATCACCCTCTCCTTCCTTCTCCCTCCTTCCTCTCTTCTTTCCTCCCTCTATCATATTAATCTTCCTTTCTAATCTCCTCCACTCTCTTCTTACTAATCCCTTCCTTCCTTTCCCTTCCTTCCCCTCAACTAAACCCTCCCTGTCCCCCCCCATCCACTCCTTAACAAATTCTGCCTCTTCACCCTGCTCCAATCATTTCCTATTCACCTCATCCATCCCCTACCACCCCCTCCCGCCCCACCGTCCTTCCCTACCAACCCCACCCTACCGTCCCACCCCACCCGTCCCCACCCACCCCGTCCCCACCCAACCCCACCCCACCCTTCCCTCCCTGCAGGTCTTAATGTTACTCCTCCCTCTGACTTTAGGAAAAGGAGGCGGCTTGGCTACACATTTTCTCCCTTCTGACGCGCCACAGAATATTAAAGAGGCAAAACGTTCAGCTAGTAATGGAATAGAGGTCGAATAAACGAATCACCAAACTTTTTTATTTTTCTGACCTAGTTTAGCAATCCTGAGCTTAGGTTAGGTTAGGATGGTTCAGTTAGTCCTCCTAATGAATGCTGGTTTAGTCCCTCTGTATGCTGCAATGTGAACTGCGACTAAGGCAATGTTTGTTTATATTTGCACCCCAACGATCGTACAAGAACACATTATTATCGTTTTTTGATAATTTACGTTTGATGATGTTGAATAGAGTGGTATAAAGGTAACACTATTAACCATCATTTTTACTACGGGTTATAGTACAGATGATTTATGGGCAGTTTGATAATGTTAGTAAAAAAATAATGCAAATTATATCGTTCCATGGACATTTGGGCCACGGGACATTTGGGCCACGGGCATTTGGTTTGGGACAAGGTGGTTAGGACTTAATCTAACGTAACCTAACATAACCCAACGTAACCCAACGTAACCTAACCTAACCGTGGTCCAAATATTCGCTCACAACACTACCCACACCCACCAGAGTCTGGCTGCCTGTGGCTCTGAATTAACGTGTCTGTGTCGGCTGGTCAGTGAACGTCGGCCTTGTCTTGGTGGTCTGCCCTTGTCTCTGTCTGTAAGTCGTCTGTATTGATTGTGTTTCTACAGTAAATGAGTTTGTGTAATATTTTTTTACTAAATCTCTCTCTCTCTCTCTCTCTCTCTCTCTCTCTCTCTCTCTCTCTAATGCCACGAGACCTTTAAGCTGGTGTTGAAGTTCAGTTTGTTTTAATTGGTACAGATTGAAAAAGTACCAGGTGTGTGTGTGTGTGTCCTTATATTATCGCACAAAGCCACCGTCATCACTACGTCACTGTGGAGGCACGTCATGATCACGTCACTTGGCCGCGTTACGGGTGGAGGACCGCGTGAGGCGCCAGACAGTACCGGGAATTCCCATCTGAAGGCTCTGGCGTGGTTGACCTCGGTAAGTTGTGCCTCAGCTGGGACAGTGTTGAACCTCGCCTCTTGCCACCAACACCTCCCAGCCTTGCCTCCTCCCACACTACCAGGAAGCAAGGTCCAGGCGGAGGGCTGAGTTGTCGAGACGCTCCGATAATTCTCTCACGCAGACTTGACTTAGGCGGGAGGATTACTGTACCCAAGTGTGGCGTTCTATTCTTGTGGTCTATTGAAACATTATATTCAAGTCTTATATATTCACGGACTACGAGGATCAACTTAGCAACATTCGTGAACTTCGAGGAACAACTTGGCAACATTCGCAGCGTTCACGGATCAACTTAGCAACATTCGCAGCGTTCACGGATCAACTTAGCAACATTCGTAGACTTCGAGGAACAACTTAGTAAATTTAACGTACTTCGAGGATCAACTCACCAACATTGTACCACCATCTAGTCAAGAACAAGTACAGGAAAAACACCCTACTAGTCAAAGACCGTAAGAGACCCAGGTACCCACCCGGGCAGGAAGTGATGCATAGCTGATGAACTGAATTAGCGAGGGAGATTGTCCAGACTCAACGCCGCCACCACAGCCGTAACCACCACAGCCGCAGCCACCACAGCCGCAACCACCACAGACACCAGAGTCGCCACAGTGTAAGGCGGCGCCCCGTAAAGGTAAAGTGTATTGTCACTGAACATGAGTTGTGATTCTCCTGCAGATGTTGATGAAGAAAACTGATAGACAAAACGAACCAATTAGATCCAACCTAACCTAATCTAACCAATTCCAAACCATCCTTAATGGCCGGTAAAATGAACCAATAAGATCAAACCAAAATTAACCAACCCAACCTAGCCAAATTTACTCAGTTATCTAACTAATCGACTTAAGTTAATCAGAGTTAAGGTTTCAGTATCTCACAATGTCGAATTCTATTAAAATAAAGTTGCATCACAATCTTTCCATATGAATTTCTAAGCACTGGGTTTATCGCCTTGTTACTCACACTGGAGACCTCACATGTTGCAAGGCACTCAGAAAAGATTTAACAAGAATACACTCAGAAAATTCAAAACACTCAGAAAGTTTTCAACAAGACACTCATTAAACACTCAGAACAGTTTTAACAGAAAGACACTCAGAAAGTTTTAACAGCAAGACACTCAGAAAACACAAAACACTCAGACAATCGTAAATATCTAGTGGTGATAATATTAACCTGTAGTGAGTATAATGTAAACAATAATAAGTAGTTTGTGGTGAGTTTTTTATTCATCATTTATTCATAAGGTTAATAATAAGACACAATGGATGAGTGTGTCAATAAACCAGATAATGTAAACACAGCCATGAGAGGAGACAAGGCCGTGTGTGTGTGTGTGTGTGTGTGTGTGTGTGTGTCTGTGTGTGTGTGTGTGTGTGTGTGTGTGTGTGTGTGTGTGTGTGTGTGTGTGTCTGTGTGTGTGTGTGTGTGTGTGTGTGTGTCTGTGTGTCTGTGTGTGTGTGTGTGTCAAGGGTTTTATTCACACGAAGCTGGTGGTTCATCTACCACTATTCAACCAACATTAGCTATACCATGAGTCAAGTATTACTATTCTAAGGTCATTATAACAACAAGTCGAGGATCATCTACCACAATTATAACCACTAGTCGAGGATCATCTACCACAATTATAACCACTAGTCGAGAATCATCTACCACAATTATAACCACTAGTCGAGAATCATCTACCACAATTATAACCACTAGTCGAGAATCATCTACCACAATTATAACCACTAGTCGAGAATTATCTACCACAATTATAACCACTACTACCACCACCATTTTCTCCTTCCCCTCCTCTAAGTCTTCCTCTTAGCGTCTGGTTTCCCTGCAAGTCACTCTGGGGGTCTGAACTTATTAAGACCTGCTGGGAGGAGTGGGGGGGAGTGTGTGTTGGGTGTGGGGGAGGGGGGGCGAGTGTGTGGTGGGTGGGGGCGTGTGTGGTGGGTGTGTTGGGTGTGTGGGGGGGGGTGTGTGTGGGTGTGTCGGAGGGGGTGTGTGGTGGTGTCGGGAGGAGGGGGGAGGTGTGTGGTGGTGTCGGGGGAGAGAGTGTGGGGGAGGGGGCCGAGAGGGGGAGGGGAGTGTCGAGGGGGGAGGGCGAGTCGAGAGGGGGAGGGGGCAGTGTCGAGGGGACGGGGGCGAGTGTCGAGGAGGGGGAGGGGAGGGGGGGGCGAGTGTCGAGAGGGGGAGGTGAAGGGGAGGAAGAAGGAAGTATTTGTGATTATTTAACTCTTGTGATACAGCGTATTTGAGAGCTTTTGTACGTTAGATTAGGTTTCTCATTAGTTGATAATTCCTCTCCGGCTTCTGATTGGTTAATGATTCTTCTCCAGTTACTGATTGGCTGATTATCCTCTCCGGCTCCTTCAGTTTAGTGTCGTATAAGTTACCTCCTTTATCACACCTCGTATAACATGAGTCACGAGTGTGTTGTGGTAGGCAGCTGCAGGAGTCGAAGCATTGAACCACTAAACCACTGAAGCATTATATACCAACATCCTCCTGTAATAACATGTAATTCATTCTTTTGGTTCTCGTTCACTATATTTTTCCTGGTTCTGTGACACCTGTGGCCTCTCCATCGACTAGGCGTTGGCTCAGTGGTTTCGTGATGTCTTGGGTGGGGATTCCTATTGACGTCGGTTCGGATCCTAGATGAAGCACTGTGAAAATATTTAGTATTTTGTTTTCTTTGTTTTAATAATGGGGGGAGGGAGGGAGGGAGACGGGGAGGAGAGAGGCGGCGTGAGGGAGGAGAAGCTGGACGTCCCCAGTTCAAAGTGTCCTATGATCAACACGAGACTGAGGGTGTCGCTCAAGGTTGATTGCTGTTGAAGGTCAAAGTATCACAACAGACATCCCACTGCGTCATCCTCCTCCTGGGTGGGACGAGGAAGGGAAAGGAGAGGGAAACGTTGAGTCAGATAAAACATGCACGGAAATATTATAATGTTCGTCATGATCTTCGCTCATAATGAGTTGACTGGCCGTGTCATTGTTATCCTTGGTGTCGACGGCTTGAGTGCAGTTCCTTGTTCAGCCGCCTCAGTTAATAGCGTATATTAACCATTGTTCCAGCGGGTTCGTGGCTATTGTTACTCTCCTTTGTTGTTTTTTGATGACGTTTGACTGCTAGTTTTTTTTTTTTTTGAGGATCCAAACTGTATTTGTTACATTCTTCTGGACCGCCTAGATGGGAGTGGGGGCGACCTCTAAGGCGTGTTGTCTGTGTCCTTGGCATTGCAACAAGTTATTTTTGTGTGTGTGTGTGTGTGCAGCCAAATGTTAAAAATAACCCATCCACTCTAATTCCCTCATTTGTCTCCACACGACGATGATATATGAGCTATCGTCAGCCTCTATCTTGAGTCGTCTTCACCGTTTGTGTACAGTTCAGTGACTTAACTTTCCACAAGATTTTGCGCGTCATAAAGTCTGCTTCCTCATATGGTGGTTCTGCTGTCTGTATGTGTGTCCTCTGCCTGGTGTTGACAAGATGAAAATACCGCCGTACAGGTTGCCTCAAAACATTATGTCTGGAGAGGCCTTCACTACCGTCCCTCAACAGAACAAGTGACCACGCCCGTATAAGATCTATGAGTCAACAGCACATTACTTCAAGTCCTTTATTATTTTGTTCCACCTGTCACCAACACCGGAAGATGATCCTTTACTCTGTGTGTGTGTGTTGTGTGTTGTGTGTGTGTTGTGTGTGTGTTGAGTGCACGAGTGAGTGAGTAAGTGAGCGTGTGTGGCAATAAAACATTCAGGAGTGGAGGGGTTGTGGTCTGGTTCAGGTATTGGTTGCCATGAACAGGAGGTGAAAGATGTTACACCACTAACTGTCCTCCCGGATCTGAGGTGCACTGTTGCCGTAGTTCCCAGCCAGCTCGGGATTCCCATACTTGGAGGATTTTCACGATATTGACATCCAGTTTTATTAGTAAGGAAAATATGTATATAGATGTTAGATAAAGTGTATTGATTATAAAGATGTGGTGATGACGAAGTGGGGTAGGTGAGGGTGGAGGGCAGGTGTGGGTGGGGGGCAGGTGTGGGTGGGGGGCAGGTGTGGGTAAAGGAGCAGGTGTAGGAGGAAGGGCAGGCGGGGTGGGTGGCAGGCAGGCGTGGGTGGAGGGCAGGTGTGGGAGGAGCGGCAGGTGGGTGGAGAGGCAAGCGTGGGTGGAGAGGAGCGTGGGAGGAGCAGCAGGTGGGTGGAGAGGCAAGCGTGGGTGGAGAGGCAAGCGTGGGTGGAGAGGCAAGCGTGGGTGGAGAGGCAGGCGTGGGTGGAGGGGCAGGCGTGGGTGGAAGTGGAGTTGGAGATGTAAGTGATAAACATTACAGTAAACGTGGAGGTGAAGGAGTGTGAGAGGCCACCACGGTCGACCATCCTGGAGTTTCAATAATAAGGTTAAAAGGTGATCAAATTACCACTTTTTCTTCTACTTCCAAATCGTTCAGTTTACCCCATCAAGCAGTGACTGTGAACGCTGCCTTTCATTTTGATCTCGTGAACGCTTATTCGTGATTTTATCGAGATTTTGTGAAACTTTGCGAGAAAAAACAGAATTACAGAGAAGGTTGGGCGGTGTAGACGAGTAGTGGGGGATCATGTGAGCTGCGGCCGCCACAGGTCATTAGTTCACATCCCGCAAACTGTGACCAACATAAACCAGTGTCATGAAGTGGAGAACATGTAGAAAAACCTCCCTTCTTTCTCGATTTTTTTTTAACTTCGAAATATCTCCGAAATAACGCTTCATTGGTCAAATATTTCGATACATAATAAACAATAAAACTTAATTACATATACGAAATAACCGCAGTTCAAGGTTGCATATTGTTCAGTAACAAAGGAATATTATAATAATTCATGAAAATCACGAAGGGTTTTAAACGACTCTGTGAAGCGGATTATAACCTAGACACGGGTAACGGGCATCATATTACCCATGTCTGCCACAACCCACAGCCAGTTGATAAATACGGGAGGAGGAGGAGGAGATACGGCCACTGAGGACGTGATGAAGTAAGTGGCCTCCTGTTGTGTGGGAGACGAGGAACATGACCAAAGATAAATTGTACTTCACAGGTACATTATTATACTCGTAGTCACCGATAAAACTCTCCCTGGATCGTGACCATAATATAGTTTGGGGGGTCTGGTAACGTATATACAGTAGTTAAGGTAGAGTCTCAGTATACTTTGGATGTGCTTTTTTTTATCGTAAGTTGTGGGAAATATTAAGTCTACGATTTTTTTATATATATTTTTTTTTTATGACAGGAATTTGGACCCATAGTGACACACCCTCCTTCTCCTCCTCCTCTTCCTCCTCCTCCTCCTCTTCTTCTTCTTCTTCTTCTTCTTCTTCTTCTTCTTCTTCTTCTTCCCCCTCCGCTCCACCACCTCCCCTCCTTTCCTTCCTCTATTCTTCCCCATCCCCCCTTTCTTCCTCCCCTTCTCCTCTTCCTTCCCTCCTCCTCCGCCCTTCCTTCACGGTCAGGAGGTAGGCACGAGCCACACCACCGCCACAGCAGCAACAAAGAAGAGTCCTTGAGTCCTCCACGCCCCTAGCACAAGAGGGTCATCAGTCCTCCTCTCCTCCCATACTCCACCTCTACACC